CCCCCCCCCCCCCCCCCCCCCGCCAAGTCTCGACCTAAACTATTCCCCCACCTACGTCAATTGCACCTTGCAAGTATAATTGAATTTTAAGTCAAAATTTTTGACTTTATACTTGCGAGATGCAATTGACGTAGGTGGGGGTAGTTTGGGTCGAGACTTGGCAGGGGGGTTTATCGGGGGGTAGGAATCATCAATTTCATGAACGAAGCTCCATAGGGGGGCAGTGACTTTCGTAGCCACTGGATTCCAGTGGCTCTAGAACTAGCCTCTAAATAAAATACCTCTGACTCGTTATTTAGGTGTAGCTTTTGTGCCAGATACTTAAGCACCAATCGAACCGTCATGCTTCCATCTCTAACAATATATAGAGTACCCATTACAAAAATGAAATTAGAGCAGTTTTATTAAAAGAACTACTCCCTCCCTCAAAAAAAATTCTGTTTTTAACTTTTAAAAGATAATAGTGAAAAAGTACGATGTGATAGGTAGGTTATAAATTAATGAGGGTAAAAGCAATTTTTTAATAAAAATGAGAAAAGTTTTTTGGGACGGATGAAAAAAATGGAAGAAATGTTTTGTGGGACGGAGTGCATACAAAACTGGAGAAATACGGAGGGACAAAGATAGCAGTAAAAGGAATTAATATAAGTATGAAATATTTGTACTCCCTCCGTTCTACAAAACCCTTCCCCTTTCGTTTTTTTTGAATTCTTTAAAACACTTCCACTTTCTATTAAGAAACCGCTTTTATGCTTACTTTTTCATACCCTACGTATCACATCATACTTTTTCAGTGATAACCAAACTATCACATCTTACTTTTACCCATCACATCAGGGGCAAAATTGGAAAAAAATTACACTTTCCTTATTTTTGCCAAAAGTCAAATGTGGAAGGGTTTAAAGAAACCGGAAGGAGTATTAAATACGGAGTAGTACTAAAACTTAAGTCATTTCTCTAAATAGAACTTACATTTTTTATTTCCTAAATAGCATTTAATAATGTCCAGTGATGACGAACATTTACTTGAATAACGACTAATAAATAATGACTAAAGTGCTAGTTTGGAAAAAAACACATGTGATGCTATTTAAAGAAAGTCATTATGTTTTAGTTCTATTTACGTAAATTTTCCATATGAAATATTGATGCAAGGGCTGGTATTGATATCTATAATAAAGTGTGGGAATAATTAATACTTGTATTAAATGGAGATGGAATGAAGTTTGTAATGATACTCACTTGATTCTTAAGAAGCTCTTTGGTATCTGCGGCAAATAAGGCTCTTTCGCTCTGTAGCGGATCGATCAAAATCACCAGTAATTAGTTCAAAAATGGAGTATTAGAATAACCTCAATTTTTTTTGTAAGGAGAATAACCTCAATTTTGATATCATGTTTATCATATATAATGTTTGTAGTATAACCCTAATTAATTAGTAAAAAACAGTACCTAATTACTCCCTTCGTCCGAAAATGTTCTTCATATTTGACTTTTCTTGATCAAAGTTTATAAACATTGACTACGATTTGTGGAAAAAACACATTGTATTATAATGTAAATTTAATATCAATATATTCATAATGAAACATAGTTTTCAAATATCAGTTTTGTATAAAATATATCTATGTGTAAATATAGATATTAATGATCAAAGTGCAATATTGGAAGCCGTGAAAAGTCAAATAGGAAGAACATTTCGGGACCGGGAGTATAACTTACTGAATTTTAGATGCTTGTAGGGAAAACCATATACCGGCATGTGGTCGTCTAGGAGGATCAATCACTCTAAAGTTATATGCTCCGCCGCGGGTGTCCACCGACGAATTTTCTACCGGCGGCCGAGGAGCGAAACGAGAACCGGCCAACGGCAGCGGAGGCGAGTACAAAACAGGATAGGACGATGGCGACCCCGCACTGGCAACTCCTTGCGAGGGAATTGCGGGCCGAAATGCCCGCGCCGGATGTTGCAAGAAGCTATACGGCGGCGTGGCGCTAATGCAACCCACGGCGGAAGGCGGAGGAGGGGAAGGGGGAAACGGAGTCCTGACCTCCGCCGTGGTAGTAGAAGCGCCACTGGGTCCCGGCGGGAGAAGATCGAGTTCCACTAATCCGACGCGGGTCCCGCCACTTCCGTGGCGGCTCGTGGAGGCGGTGCCGCGGAGGCCGACGGTGAGCTGAAGCCAGCCTTGGGGATCGTAATCATCATTAGAATCAGGATTAATACTAGTAAAATAATAATCTCTAGAGCCATCATTAACGCACTCATTAAGATCATCTCCCGGCATTATTAATGGGTTCAGACAAGATTGTTCAAGAAGCCCTCTTTCTGCTGGCAATTGGTTGATATGACCAAAACCATGAAAATGAATTTTGTGGAGGTTTTGATGAAAACAACCAAACTTGGTCATGTTCATTCAAACCTCAAAAACCCCAAACCCTAAACCCATCCAATTAACTATAGAAAGTTTAAAAGGTCTTAATTAATTAGATGAAATATATGAGTAGAAGAGATATATGTTTGGTACTTGTGGGCATCAACTATAGTTGTGTTGTGGAGAATGAAGGAATCAACAGAGATATCCACTGACCAGAGAGAGAGAGAGAGATTTTTATGTGCTTTTGGTTTTGATAAAAACAAATGAGTTTACTAAGAAAATGTTACGCACGTAGTACGTGCTTTATGACAGCTGCTTTGAATTGATTCATCATATTCACCACACTAATCTTTTAGTTCCTCCATACCTTTAATTTTTTTTAACTTTCGAAAAAAGTGATAATCCCTCTCTATTCAATTTGATTACAAATAGGATTTACGGGGAAAAAATATTTCATTTTTTGAAATCATTTTATTTACAAATCGGTAGATTGATAAAAAAAAATTACTCCCTCTGTCCCGAAAAACATGGGAGTTTTGATTTTGAAGGGGGGTTTAAGGGGAGTGTATTTTGGTATTGAATTTCCAAAAATATCCTTTGATGTGATGGGTAAAAGTATGATTTGATGGATAGATTATTAGTAAAAAAGTATGATATGATAGGTAGGGTATGAAAAAGTAAGGAGTAAAAGTGACTTTTTAATAGAAATGAGAAGTGTTTTTTGGGACGGATGAAAAAAGAAAGGAGAAAGGTTTTCTGGGATGGAGGAAGTACATATTAAAAAAACTAAATTAAAAGTTCTACAAAACAAGAGGTGAAAAGAATATTTTATTTGATCAAATACTTAAGCAAATCGCATAAACAAACAAAAGTTATCGAGAGGAGAGAAAAAAAACTGTAATCAGATTAGGGACGGAGGGAGTATATTATAGAATACTTTTATTATTCATATCTCTATTTATATATAGATATGTATATTATTAAAAAAATTTAATATTTTTACATTTCAAAACTATGTTTCAAACTAAATTCATTGATATTAGATTTATATGTTAAACTAATGCATTTTTTCGGTAGTTAATAGCCAAAGTTTAAAAAATTTTGACAAAAAAATTTAATCAGGGAAGATTTTTTTTGAACAGGAGGAGCATTAATTTTCGTGTTATTTTCCTATTGTTGTTTTTATTGTTTTATTATGGGAATATAATTTGATTGATGGATTAATAATGAATATATATGATGTGATTGTTGGTTAGATACAAAAAAGAACTCCTTCCATCTAATAAACTCCTTTCTTTTTTTCTTTTTCTCTCACATCTAGAGAACTTTTATTTATTTGTGTGTCTATTGATTATTTGATAAAATAAAATATTCTTGTCACCTATAGTACGTTTTGTAGAATTTTTACGCATTTAGTTTTTTCAATATGTAAGTTTCATTTTTTATTGATGACAAATTGTAAATAAAATGATTTTGAAAGACGTAGAATTTTGCCATGTAATTCCTAATTTGTAAACATGTTGGGACGAAGGGATTACATCAAAATTACTACTACTACATAACAACCCAAATGCATCGTTTGTTTTAAACCTTTTGCATCGATTTTGTAGTGATGCAAGCAAGAGTGATGCATTTGGTTGTTGTTGTTGCAAGCAAGAGTGATGTCATAACTCAATCTCAAATAATACATCAATGGTTACAACTGAAGCAAAAACTGCTTTTTTTAATTTTAAGTCAAAAGTATTTTGTACCGGTTATTAATTGTTTCGAGTTTATATCTAGTTAATTTTTTTCTTTCGGGTTAAATTTACATAAATAGGACTAAAACATATTATCTTTCTCAATATAGGACCATATGTTTTTTATTTCCGAATATAGGACCTTTGGTCATTATCAATTAGTCATTATTCAACTAAATATCCATCATTATTGGACATTATTCTTCCCACTAGACATTATTAAGTCCTATTTAGAGAATAAAAGAGTTTTAAGTCCTACGTTAGGAAATGACTCAAGTTTTAGTCTTATTTAGTGCAAATTTCACTTCTTTTTTTCCTTCTTTTTATAGTATAACATACAATAAAAAAAGAAATATAAACTACATTAATATTAAAAAGAAGTACATAAAAGAAAAAAACGATACAGGTAGCACTAATTTTTTTTTGAAAACCAAGTAATTACACTAATCTAAACGATACAAGTAACACTAATTTCCACTCTTAGGTTGTTATGAGTTTATCTACTACGGATTTGGTTGCATCTTACGATTCATTCATCATCAGTGACCTCTTTAATCTGCAATTCATTCTTTCCATCCCTTTTTTTTATAACAAAACGAAAAAAAGAACCATGTTTATTTAATTTTGTCCCGAAAAAAGAGTCCAATTCGAACAAATTATTCTAATTTCCATCAATACAGATTACAACTAAACTAAAAAGTATAACTATATTTGATTATTTCAAATAGACAAATAAGATCTTCAGATTGAACTCGCAAATTGATTGAGTTCAATCTTTTAGTGTAGTTTCGGTGAAGTGTTTTATGACCCATATGAGTGGCCCCAAAACAAATCGTAACTTTATCAAGTGTATCAAGTGCAATACTTTTTGCTGAGTATATGGTAAAAATATTTACTGATTGAGATTCTGCCAATAAGAAGAATCATGCCCAAATGTGTAACTTTGCTTTGCATCTTGAACATATTTTGATCCAGCATCACGAAGTACAAAAGTAATTACTAAGAGATTAATTGCACGTAACTACAGTACTGCCTCATGCACACGATTCAGAGGCATAAAATGGAATGGAGAGTATAACAAAGAAGATGGAAACAATAATTACAACTACTAAGGTCATAATACCAAAAAAAAGAAAGTTTTGCGTTCATGTTAGTTCTCTAATTTGCATTTTAAGTATGCAATTAAAGTAATAGATTGAAGGTGCGGTGGAATTTACCTCAAACTTTCACAAAACCGCGTAAATATGAACACGTCCGAACAGATAAGCATCGAAATCTTGAGCAATGTTCTCTTTACATCTTAATCACCAACTACTGTGAAGATTTATGCCTCAAGCCTTCCCAGTATCAGAGCTAGAAACATGAGGTACACTTTTAGCAAAAGGCCAAATCTGGAACCATTGAAGCTGATTTTGCAAATGGCATATCCTTCGAGGATACAGGTGGTCAATATCAGAGCTACAAATCTAGCACGAAAAACAAACTAATACTTTTATCAGATGTCTATATCAGATGTATACCGGCATTGAAAATTTTCTAAGAAGATATTTAATCAAGCATCAGAAAGCTCATAATAACTGTAGGACTGGTTATAATTTGAGTAGAGCCGACTAAATAAAGCAGTACCTGAATTTTATGTTGCCAGATGTTCGTCAAGGGGATTGCGGGATCCAACTGGGTTGTTGTTGTAGTTGTTGTATTTTCATCATAAGGACTTCTAAGGCACCAACTACAGAACAACTTCATCCCAGGGTTCCACGACAGTAAAACAAGCGTCACTTATAATTGGATTAGTAGGTGGACATCCAACGACTGACAAATAGGAATCTGTGTCACCAATAATCTCCACAAGAGCACATACTATCTTGGAAGTGATGATATCTGTTTATATCTCGAATAATTATTTCTCGATGCACAAGGGTTGATATGAATTTAATTGCTGCATGGCAGTCCATACATATTTTGAGGTTTTTAATAATACGAATGGGGCTTCCGGGAGGAGTTCTAATTAGAGCATACGCTAAAGCTAGTCTTTCACTATGTAACCATAAAAGCAGTTCCTTTTCATCATCCTCAACAGCAAGTAAAACAGAGCTAAGATTAGGAACATATCCACCAGCCTTGCTTTTCATGTTGAACCACTCCAGCATCGAACGAATTAGTTTAATATCAGGATGTGAAACATCTCCAACGGAGAAATAATGAACCATTCCCTGGTTTTCAACCCAGCTTAGTCCCGGTTCCTTCTTTATTTGTTTCTTCTTCATGTTTTTACGGACAAAAGAGACATTACCCCACCTTTTTGCACTGGCATACATGTTAGACAATAACACATATGTTGATTCATCCAGGGGATCCATTTCAAGAACACGCTCAGCAGCAGTTCTCCCGAGTTCAACATTATTGTGAAGAACACAAGCCCCAAGCAAAGCACGCCATAACATAATACTGTGCTCAAATGGAATCTCCTCGATCATCTTAACAGCTCTATCAAGATGACCTAATCGCCCTAAAAGAGACACCATACAGGTATAATGCTCGATGCAAGGTTCAATACCATATTGCTCTCGCATTGAGGAAAAATAAGTTTGCCCAAGATCCAACGAACCTGTGTTACTACATGCTGAAAGAACACCAACAAAAGTTAACGAATTAGGTTTGACATCCATGCTTTGCATCTTCTCAAAGATTTTCAGAGCTTCAATGCCCGAGCCATGCATGGAATATGCACACACCATAACATTCCATGAGACTAGATCTCGCACACTCAAAGTATCAAAGACCAGACGAGCATCCTTAATGTTCCCACACTTTGCATACATATCTATTAAGGCATTTCCCACAGCAACATGCTGAATGTAAATAGTTTTTGTAGTCAATGCGTGTACCTGCATGCCTGGCTCCAGTGCTGCTAGCCGGGCACAAGCACACAATACAGAAGAGTATGTGATCTCAGTAGCTTGCACTTGAAGTTCGAGCATAGTCATGAACAGATTCATTGCCTTCTCATGATCGCCCATTTGCACATGGCCGACAATAATGGTGTTCCAAGATACATTGTTCTTATCAGTTGAGCCCATAAATAACTTCACTGTGTTTTCTAGCACTCCACATTTAGCATATACATCCATGAGAGCATTTGATACAAAAACATCTGAATCATGACCAACTTTTGTTACATGGCAATGGATTTGCCTTCCTAGATCCAAAGCCCCCATTGTTGCACACGCTTGAAGTATGCTCGTAAAAGTAAAATTATTTGGAACGACGGATGTTGCACTCATTTTACGAAACAAATTCAAAGCCTCCTCACACTGATCATTCTGAGAGTACCGTGCTATCATGAAACTCCAAGGAATTACATCATTTTTCGGTATCTCCTCGAACATGCATCTGGCAACCTTAATATCTCCAGCCTGTGTATACAAGTCAAGCAATGAAATACCTACAAAAGGATCCACCAAATAATTAGTCTTTAAGACATAACCATGGAGGCTCTTCCCTGCATCAATGGCCTCTAATCCGAGACAAGCTTTCATTACACTAGCAAAGGTGAAGTTGTTCGGTCTCCACCCTTCCATTCTCATCTCAGAGAATAGCTCAATTGCTTCTCGAAAATAATCATTTTCAGCATAACAAGAAACCATTCCCGTCCATGCAACCATATCCTTACAAACAACTCCATTAAAAATTTCCCTAGCCGCTTTAACAAGCCCAGAGACAGAGCAAGCATCTATAAGTGCAGTGCTAACAAAGGGGTTTGAGTGAAAACCTAACTTATAAATACATGCCTGGACGCTCCAAGCCATCTCCGTCCAATTCATACTCACCAACACATTCAAAATGGTTGTGAAGACAAACGGGTTCAGCTCGTGGCCTTCTCTGTGCAATCTACCAAACAATTCAACAGCTTCAGTGCAACGCCCCAGCCGCATGTAGCCCTGAATCAAAGTCACAAAAGACACCATATTTCGGTCCCCCATTTCGTCGAACAGCTGGTGAGCGCGGGACACCGAGCCAGACTTTAGGTACAAATTCAACAGAATGTTCCGCCCGTACAGGTCTAAATCGACACCTCTCTTGATAATGTGGCAATGAAGGGACTTTCCCAAAGCGAACTGGGAGTTCTTGATGCAATCTTGAAGTTTGCTTGAGTATGCACGGGAATCGAACTCCGAGAATTGCAGCATCGCCCGCTTCGCGTCTGGTTCCTGGGTCAGTTGAGGAACAACTTGCGATGAGAATGGACGGGCCAGAAGCCGTAGAAAGATGAAAGATTTGGGAAAGATGCTTAGCCATGGCTGTCTTCTAGTTGTAGTGAGTATTTGCCTGATCATGCGTCTTGTGGTAAGTTCTCTTTTCAAGGTTCGTCGGGCAGGGATTGGCCCGTTTGCCTGTGAGAGCATCTCCAATAAGGTATTTACGCTATAAAGTGTAAAGATTTATATAATTATACTAAAATACACCATAACCTAATATTCATATTTGTTTAGTAAAGTAGTACTATTTAAATGTATTTTTTAAAAAAAGAAATTATGTTAGAATACTAATATTGAATAAAAATAAATAACTTTTTTGGTTTACTTCTAAACCATATCATTGAATTACAAAGTTTGACAACTTAAAGAAAATAATTATTTATACTTCGTAAAAATATGGTTTAAATATTTGTTACAAAATAAAATAACTTTCAAGACTCAAGCGGGTCTGGGTCCAGTAACACAAATGACAGGCCCGACGATTCTTAGGTACGCGACGAGTTCAATTATTTTTTAGTGAGTATGAGTTTGGAACTATCTAAACCTGAGCCATTGACTAGCCTATATATCTCCAACCATAACCAGGGTAGCATATAAATATTGGTAGCTTTAAATGTTTTTAATCTATCTACTTATTTTTTAAGGAAGAAAATAGATTCATTAAGCACTTAAAAGGTCCTCAACAAAAGAGGGGATGAAAACTCCTAAACTATCCTACAAGCCAAGATATTTTTAGTTAATTCATGAGCAATACAATTTAATGACCTCTTAATGAAATGAAAAGTCACATAATCAAAATGATTCGAAATCAAAGAACAATCCTCCCAAAGAGCACCAAAATAGGGGGGACATGATGAATGATAATGTCCTTGCAAAGCATTAACCATTTAGAGACAATGTGAGAAAAGATGAATCTTTCGTAAATCTAAATCTCTCATCCAAGAAAGAGTATCTCTAGAAGCCATTGTTTCCGCCAATTACAGGACAGGAGCACAATCTAATCTTCCATTACAAGCAGCCTAAAAAGACCATTCGCGGTATTCAAATGAGATTTTGAAAAATCATTTAAAATTTGGAGATATTTAATTGAGATTTAAAAACAAATCTTTCTAAATCTAATGGTATTAAAAAACGGCCCGGTTCCATGGCCACTGGAATCTAGTGGCCATGGAACCGGGCCGATTAAAAAATGAAAGATTTTTACTCCGTATAAGTTATGAATTGCCATAGATATTTGGCTTTAAGTATGCGTTGTTCTCCCGTGATCTAAGTTCCACATGTGAAATGTAGACCTTCTCATAGTTTTCATGGACCAGCAAGTCCATTTTTTTGTAAACATCTAACTCTTTCAAAATACAAATATATATACTAAGGTCCATAAATGAACATGGACCTTATTATCACCTAATAATTTGACCTTTGGAGCCTAGTTAGTAATATATGGCTGCTGTATAATACATCAATACATATGTTGTGTATAATACATTAGGATTTGAGAAATCACCCTATGTAACACTCCAAAATACTCAGTCATTTACTATAATATTTGAGACTCGTTTCATGAGAGTTCGACAAGTGGACAACACACTTGGCTATTTTTTGACATGTCAACATGCCATGTCATTTTTAGAGTATGTGTTAATAATTACTTTTTGCTATTACATTTTTATTAGTTATTCTCCAAATTTTAAAACTTTAATAAGAAAATTATGTGTTCTCTATTTTATGCCTTAGTTACCTTATTAAAGATTTATGTTTTTGCCATAACTAAAGCTAATATGGGGTGATATTTTAATTTAAATATAAGTTTTAATTACGATTAAATCCAAATTTTTTTCTTATTTAAGGTCAAGTTTTATAGTTTACCAAGTAATAAAAATATAAGTTTAAATATAATTTCTCGCATTATGTAAATTTTCATAATTTTTACTCGATGATAATAATAATTCTTGCCTTATGTAATTTAAGTAATTTTTACCTGATGATTTTAGGAATTCTTTCCTTATGTAATTTTTGTTATTCTATAGTTTACTTTTTAAACATTATTAACTATTCCTTCCACCCCTACGATCTTCTCCTTTTAGTTTTTTGTGATTTTGAAGGAGACTTGATAAAAGATGAAATTTTACCAATATTGATGGAATCATTTTTGTGGAGTTGAAGAAATGTGGAATCATTTTTGCAAGGCTCTATGTACTTCTTTTGCTCATCAACCGTGTACTCTAGGTCTTGAAAAAATCTTTTATACATATCTTGGGTTCTTAAAAAGTAGATGTATTAAATTCTAAGATATTGCCCAACCATTGTTTTACAAATAATAATTTTTTGACAAATAAGATTATCTAAACTTGACAATTCATATACCCTTTTTTATAAGATCCCAGAGGTTCAAACATTATCCTTTCATTTACGGGTCTAAAATTTTTCTATGAGTAAATTACACATATAGGACCAAAAGAGGGCCCTTTTCCGTTTTTAAGAACAGTCCTATTTCTGTCCACGTGGCTCGTAGTTAAAAGACTGCTATGCCCTCCAATTTAGACTTTAATGAAAATAAAAACAAAAAAGAAGATATGCGCTGATTTACGGAGAAGCGCGAAAGTGTAGCCGCAGCATCCGCCGTAGGTGATACCAGTACGAGTTTCCAAGTGTGTCTCTACTTCTCCTGCATGCCGACTTGTGTGGGTATCGCATAATATATCTTGGATTCCGTCAATCGGGGATTAGGGCGTTATCATACTGAAATTGAATTGAGGAGAAGACATGACGACGAGGAGCAGTACAACGAAGAAAATGGCGAACAGAGAACGGGTAGATGACGATGATGATTTCGTTGACAAGATTCCAATAATAAAGACCATAAATTTAGTGAAGACAACCTCAGGGCGAGTAAGTTCTTTAATTGTGGTTCTTAATTTTTTTATTAGGTTATAATCCCTGAAATGAGGTGTAAGTTTGCCGACGTTGCATATGTCTTGTTTGTTAAAATGTCCGTGCTGTTGAAATGACTTGCAACGTTTTTAATTATTTATGTACTTTAGCATCATGTGAGTCTTTGTGAAGAAATTATGTATGGACTGGAGTTTAAAGACTTTGTGGTTGTGAAGAAATTAGTTATGTACTTAAGCATCCTGTGAGATTTATGGTAGTGTGATTGAAATGATTTGGTATTTGGCTGGTGAATGTAGTGTTTGAAGTTTTTTTGTTTGGCAGGGATAGTTTTTGTAGGGATTTGGTAGTGAGTAAAGTTTTTTTTTGTTGTAGTGACCAAATTTTGCTTGAAAATAGGTTTAAAGACTTTACACTGGTTGTAATAATTTTTTTTCTTCTTTTAAGGTTTTAGAAGATGGTTTTGAAGTCTTTGAGTTGTCTGTAGTGACCAAAGGTGGTCCTGAGTTTAGGATTAAAGACTTGTCACTAGTTATATTTAGAGTTAATGACTTTTAAGAGTAATGACTTTCTTATCATTGAGTAAGGTGGAAAGGTTTTCAAAAGGTGGTTTTATTGATTTTGTATTGTTTGTAGTGACCAGAGCTGGGCCTGAGATTATGATTAAAGACTTGTCTCTGGTCTGATTTAGGATTAATGACTTTTTATATGTTGAAATTTAAAGACTTTGTACTGGTCTGTAAAAAATGTTGAAATGGGGATACTGAACCTAAAGACTTTGATTTTTTCAAATGGTTAGGAATTTAATAGGTCATTAAGGGTTTGGGTTTTAAATTGATAAATGTAATGCCTGGTATATGTTTTGACGTTGGATATTTTGGTACAGGTGTACAAAAGGTTGTGTGATGAAGAGGTTTTGGTCCGGAAAGCAGAGCTTAAGGTGACTTGCTTTTGTAATGTGTGGGTGGGTGCAAAAAGTATTCGAGATGCGGTGAGTGCTTCAGAGATGACTGAACTGAAGGAATCTGCATTTGGAATTTTCTTCAAGCTTGGAGGGGTCAATTTTTGGCACAGAAGAGATTAAGACGAATGCATTTCTAATCTCATACGTGAATGCTTTTCTTTAATTAGAATGTATCTGATATTACTTTATTCACTGCAGGAAAGTGTTCAATGGACAGAGATGGCTGCTACGACAGCGGAGAAAGGGAAAGAAAAGATTGCAATGTTATTCTCTAAGGGAGATGCAAGTAAAGCTAAGTTTAACGATGGTGGAGGAGAGCACATTGATGAAGGGTATGGGGCTGGTCGTAGAAAACTTAAAGGAAAGTTACATTGGGGAAATGTGGACTCTACAAACGAGGAGGAGATAAATGGGCAGCCGAAGGAGAAGGGAAAGGTTGTGATCCGCAAGAAGACAAAAGGGCAAAAGACGGATAAGAAATCAGACGGGTCACGCGGAGGTGCTTCAAGAGGTGCACCACAAGGGAGGCAAAGTGGTTTGGGAGAAGGTCGGGAGAATGAACCGTCATTGCGAGATATAATGATGGCAATAGTGGTTATGGAAAAGAGAAACATGAAGATGCGCACAGAAGTTACGAAGCTGCAGATAGCTTTAAATGCCCAGAGCCGTGTCCTTAATAGGTTTATATCAATGAACAGGATGGGTAAGCGTTGGCGTAAGGGCAAAAAACGCACAACAGAAGATAATGCGATGCCAAGCTTTGATTTAGGGTTTGTGTTAGGCGTGTCGTAGCACCTACAAATTAATTTATTCTTTTCCTTTACTTAGTTCCTTCTTGTAAAAATAGTATTTATTAAATCTATAGATAGGATAAGTAAGAGTCGATCCCACGAAGAAAGATATTTTTTAGGCTATGAAAATCGGTTTACTTTGTCACTTTTTATTGAGTGAAAACAACTATCTAAAATCTATAAACTAAATTAAAAGATGGGGGGGTTTGAAAATTGTTTTCTAAATAAAGTAAAAAACTAACTAAAGTGACACACCACACCAGAACAAATCTCAAAACAAACCAAGGATAAAAACAGAACATAACTCCACCAAAAAGCCCAAACGAAGAAGACAAGCACACATAACACAATAATTTAGAGACTTAAACAATTTTAGAATACCAACAAAATGTTTTATAATGTAGAAAATAAATATCCAGGATCAAAACTTTGTTGAAAACTAGCATAATCATCAACCAACTATAAATTAAAACGAGGGTTAGGCTGAAGAAGAGATCCACCAACGGCTCTTCCCTATTTTCCCATTCATAAAAGCTCATGTTAGGACCAACCCTAACTCTAAACCCTACTACCCTTAGCAACCCAAAGACCAACCCTTAGATTACTACTATGAATAGTGCATTAAGATTTGTGGAAAACATCACCGTAACAATTTTGCAGTAACACGAAGGTTATTTAACAAAATCAGTTTGAGAACCTTGATTAGCAAAAATCACTTAACGAGGCAATCTAGTACTAATCAAGTGACACTTGGTTTCTAGAAAAGTTCGGCTATTTAAAGCACTTTGGACTTTAAAAGAATATCATTTTAAATTGGATTAGGTCGCGATCCTAATTTGACCCAACTCTGGTAAAATCAATTGAAAAATAGTTCTCAAACACCTTTGAAATAATTTAAAAGAAGCATAACTTGAATTATTTTTAGGAATATCAAGCTTGCTGTAAAAATCTAAACCCATAGACAAATTCATTCTTTTTAAAACAAGACCAAATACTCCCTCAAAAATTCTGATCTCATAAGTTAGTTTGGGCAAAATCAGATCCTAGATTACACAAAAAAACACTAAAAATACTCTGAAAAATATGCTCCACAAACACGTTATTGACTTGAGCCTACTGGAAACCAAAAGGCCTTGAAAGTTTGTTCCAATAAGAGACATTATATTTTATCTATTCCCTCAAGTTTGAGCAGCAACTTAGCTAACTCCTTTGAAAAAAAAGCAACACAGTATGCAATCAACATTCACAGCCCTTATTCAATTAAATAATTCATAAGAAATTTTGAAGGAAATCAAACCCATAGTCTCAAACGTGCAGTGAATTGCCAAAATCCCAAAGTAAAAAAAAAACAGAAACTAAGTTGGTATTACACCAACCAACTTATATAGGTTTTGAAATATTTTTGAACACCAAAAAAACTTGAATGGTAACATAAACCAATCCTCTCTTGAAATAGAAGTTCAATAACCAGGTTCAGTGATATGATTTGGGAATCAAAAATCAGGCAGTGACTAACCACTAGAACTGAAAAGGCAGATGAAAAAGTACTTGTTCAACAGAAATTGACGATCAGAACTTAAAAAACAAGAAACTTAGAAAAAAACAAATTAAAGAAAGAATGAGGGAACGGATACAAGATCCGAACCCTCAAGGGTTATTACCCTTGAGAAGTTGCTCTGATTTTTGTTCTTGATGGTGGTGGTGATGTTATTCGCAGCGCCCCCCTCAATTTATAGGTGCTCTTCGTCTCTTCCGTCTTCGATTAGGATTCTTCACTTCTGAATTGGCGCTGCCCTCCAGCTGTGGTTCGCGATTTCTCCGGGTTCCAGTTGCGTTGAAGAGCCGAACAGCAGTAGGAGAGGGAGTCTCTTCTTTTTAAGCAGCTTCTCTCCAATTTTTGTGTGCATTGGAGGTGGACCTTTGGGCTTTGTCATCTTGGCCCCGGAATTCCGTTGAAACCATAAGTCGGGGTAGAGCCCAACTGGATTGCTTTCACATTTTCAGCCCGCACTTTATGCTCCAAGAATATATCTAATAACCTTTGTCAAGGAGAATTTGGATCCACAACAATAATATTCAAAAATAAACTGAAAAGTGTGCATTATGAACATATTTTATAAATGATGCCTAGAATGCAAATATGATCATTTAAGTGTAAAAATGCACTTTTTAATGCCCAAAAATACTGATTTAATAGAGAATAATTAGTGAATATTTTGGACTCAACAGTTTGAGAGCGAAGAGAAGAAAGATGCCACCGAACCTGATGTTGATGATGATGTTTGGGACGAGGGTATTAATGTTGATGCTGATATAAGGACCCAACCGGGTGAGTTTCGTAATGATCTTTCTGATCCGTTGAATGAGATATGCACTCAAGAAGTAGAAGGCAGGTGGGTGAAGGCCGTAGATACCTTGGGCCTAGGGAAATGTCCTGAGAGGAATGTAGAGAATGAGGAGTGCGGAAAAGGGCCGACGCACATGGTGGATGACGACATGCTCTTGGGTGATGTGGGCACAGGCATAGGTGTTGAGGATGTGCTGCATACTGGCGTGGACGAAACCAAAGCAGTATCTCCTGTAAATGGAGACATGTCATCTATGAATATGAGTGGTCAGGGAAATGTAAGAAATTTATGAAATTTGATATTTAGGCATGTAATTAATCCAATTTATTAATTGATACAAATTTGACATAATGACCTTTGTAGGAAATTAAGGAAGATGTTGCAGGGTTCACTGGCAAGTTCGAGACAACATCGCAAGTTATAGAGGTTTATGTCGTAAAATTCTTTCTTGAGATATGAGTTATTTTAAATAATTATTGTTTTTATCTTTGAGTAACGTTCGCAGGCTGTGCAGGATTTACTACCGGGATGGATTTTTTCACACAACCCAAGGAGAGCCCGGTTCAGATTGAAAAGAATTCAACTGAGAGGAATGTAGACTGGAATTCAACAGAGGGGGTTTTAAATGATTCAACTAATGAGGTGAGTTCGGCTGTTCTCTTTATGACAATGTTGTATAGCAATTGACTCCTGTGCTAATAACCTGGTAAGTGGGAGTGGTTGTAGTGACATAGTAATAATGGCCTTACTAATAATCTAGAATAATGAGGTTAACATGTAGGTTTTGAACGGCTTGTTTGAGATTAATGACCAGACCTTTGAGATTGGGAAAAAAACATGGGTATTGACCATATATTAAGGGAGTGTAATAAGTCCATATGATTTCATAAATTCGGTAAACAGATTTATGTTAATGACCAATTATGTGTGTGTATGTTTGCAAATCCTTGAATAATGACCAACAAAAATGTATTGGGAAATATTGCTTAATGACTTGAAATAATTACTTCATAATGTTAATGACCTGTAATACATGGGCGCACAGTAATATTTTTTTAGCCTAAGGCAACAGGTCAATAAGGAATTTACTAAAAATATGCCAGGTAAATGGCATGTGTTTTAACTTCATTATGCAATTTAGACACATGTGAATATGCGTTATTGGTTGTATTGGGAAATAAATGTTAGGGACAGGTATTGAGTACGGGAAACGACATTGATCTGCTAAGGGTCGTGTATGAAGAGGTTCAGGATCCTGAGGATGATGCTAAGGTGGTTGTTGAAGAACCATCAACACAGATTGTGGTATTTTTTTAATTTATTAAGCTTTTTTATGACTTATAACCATTAACCATTATCTTAATGAGGAAGAATACTACATATTATCCCATAGTGTTTAAATATTGAATGATTCTCAGGTGTATGAAGCACCAATTGCAAGTGAGACACACCGGAATGGAGGGCGAAGCAAAAGAGGCCCTTGAAGTGTCCAGACAGGTTCACTCCAGATGATTTAGCGGTTCGGCATAAAACAAAAAGGGTTAGAACAGAGGGTGCGCGTGTAACCCATTTTGGGGGAGATGAAGATGAATTCATGGGTCCATTCCCGTTAGACCCGAAGGCGCTGCCTGCTGAGGAGGCATTAATGAAGGTTGAGAAGTTTATGTACCAAGGACTTTTTAAAAACCACCTTAGAGTATCGGGGCGCAAGTACCGGGCCCCGGATGATGTGCTTGACCCAAGTTTGTACAAGGGTCACTACGACAAGGAAGACACCCTAACAAAGACCTGGTACTACAACATATTTTTCCCCTGGGGATGGCTTTCGGATAAGGTAAACATTGATTTAATTCACGGCGTATGGTTGTAACATTTCTTGGCGAAGTATGAGAGTAATAGGTTTGTTTTGGTTGTAAATGCAGCACCTAGATGTCATATTCTACTACCTTAGAATGAAAGGAGTAGAGTTTGGGATGGAGCAGCATTACACAACGACAGACACCCCATTTCCTGCATTGATGAAGACATTATGTGCGAGGTACATGAATAAGGAACTAAGAATTGAGCAAGAAACGCGTAATAAGTCAGTAAGAAGTACGATCATGGGAGGGAAGATGGAATACAGTCGTCCGTGGCAGAGCGCAGATTTTGTATACATGCCGCTGAATACTGGGAACCATTGGACATTGTTGGTGCTGGACATTAAAAAGAAGTTAATCAGAATGTATGACTCGAGCATCAGGAGAAATGATTCAAAAAGAAAGTTGCAGCCATTTCTGCCATGCCTCTAAATGTTCCTGCCTAAGATAATGGATAAGTTGGGCGTGTATGACGGACGGGAGGAAGGTCCACTGGGAGATGATGTCTTGGCGGTTGAAGCTGGATCGTGCTGCCCCCAGCAAAACGACGGGTATGATATATTTTGGTCTGTATAATGTTATATGCAATGCGTGTTTAATAAATTTTTTTGCTTGACGTAGGTCAAGTTGTGGGATGTTTGTGGTGAAGATGGCTGAGTTTCTGATGATGGGGTGCGATGTGGGGGATATGGATGATCATGAAATTGCTGCCTACAGGAAGAAGATGACTGTGGAGTTGTTAGCATACTCTGCCGTGTAATGTTAATGAATTTGTGGTGCTTGAAAATAATGCCCTAGTTGAGGATCTGTTTTTTTTTATAATATGCATGTAGTATCCATACTTTTGTTGGTGAAACTAGACATTCTAAACATGTGGTCGTATTTTGTTTAAATTTGTTGAAGGTATTTGGCAAGTTATGGTCAGTTTGGAAATATTCAGATTTGTTTTTTGAATAGAAGTACTTAGCGTATTTGGACGAATCCATGGTTGTGGTGTTTATGTTCCACGCACATTATGAATGCATAGATTAGTTGTGTAGAATTATTTTAGTATTGTTCTTTACATTTATTTACATATTATTTTCTAGATAGATCGGGGAAACAAGTAGAGGGGGTAGACTTCGCTTTCCCCGTAAGTAATAAAAACATGGCGTGAATGTTGAGAAATGGTTATTCTGGTCATTAACGACCTAATGTTCAATGTAATTTTTTTAAAATTTCATAATATGGCTTAATAATGGATATGGTGGTGGATAACGTACATTTTTTTGGGTGAAATGAGCTTGAGTAAATGCAAATGGAAAATGATGAGTAATCATACATTGGGGATTTAAGAAATGGTTACATATATGGAGGAAGTCATTATGCTTAAATGTTATGTAAACAAATTTCCGTAATTGAGAGGATGAAATGATAAAGGAGAGGCATAGAAATGACCATAATGATATTAAATATATGTGTTCACTGAAATGGTAAAACCATACTAAACAAACCCACAAATCAACCACAAAATTGTCTTGATAGCGTCTTGATATGGAGTCAATCACGACTCAAAGAAATGGGATTAGTGCACGTCTTCCTATTGTGACCCTGAGATTTGCATCGTGAGCACGGCTGGCGCTTAGCCTGCTCACCTTTGGACGGGATCCTTCGCTTCTTGGGCCTTCCAGGAGGATGTTTATCGCATGATGGTGGGAGGCAAACAACCTCTGCAACCTCATCGGGCACAACCCAAGATTCTTTAGATGGGATGGGGTGTATGATGCCTGAATATGTAGCTCTCCATGCAGTAGTGGTGTAAAAGGATGAGACATAATCATAGCAAGACAAACCGCTTCGACAATGCGTTGCAGAGACCGCATGAACACACACAAAATGGTCCAACTGGAATTCACAGCAAGTGCACGTCCTGTTTTGAAAGTTCACTACAAACGAACGACCTTTCTTGTCAATGACAAGGAACTCGAATGAACAAGCTGGCCTAACCTGCAAAACTAAAGCAACACCGTTTTGCGCATAGAGAATGAGTGAGTTAGAGTTTTAAGAGATGTGGTAAGAATAAGGAAAAATGCATGTGTACGGACCTAAAAGCATTTATAATAATAATAGCCTATGATATAAATTAAACTTACTTCCATAACAGCTGAGGCGGAATGTAGTTCATTTAGCTCCGACTCGTAGAACTTTGTTAAAGTAGATGACGTTGAGTTTTCTAAATCCCTACGCTCGTGAAACCACCTTTGAGTCCTTCCCATTAGAAAATCAACAAGTTGTGAAATTGGGTATTCACGGGGGACAACATCAACATTGTTCATGGACTCTGCAAGGTTAGAGGTCATTATAGAATAACGTTGACTCGAGCATGATCTGGCCCACTTCTTTTTCCCGATAGATTTCAAGTAACCAATAATCCTAGGGTCATCTCTGTCCAAATACTTCAAATATCGGTTGCACTCTACTTCAGAAGCTGCCCTTGCAGCACCATAAAACTTCCAAGACAAGGACTTTTCGGATCAATGGAAATTAGTCTTGATGTTTTCAAATATGTGGAATATGCAATGGCCATGGCCCACCTTAGGGTAAACAGATTTAACTGCCTTGATAATTCCATCATGCCTGTCTGAGACAATATATTCCATAGGACGGTGCTTGAGGGCTTACTTAACTCTTGACAGAAACCAACGCCAATTTGCATCGTTCTCGGCATCACATACACCAAAAGCTAGTGGGAATATTTGGTTAATCCCATCCCGTGTAACTGTAGTTAAAAGTGTCCCTTTGTAATATGACTTCATAAATGACCCATCAATAATTAGCACTGGAACACAATGGGGCCACCCTTCTCTCTAGGGTGCAAGAGATATGAATAAGTACTTGAACAAGTGGTCAGGCGTAGTAGTGAGTTCGATCAAAGAACCAGGATTAGCATGTTTCAGCATAAAACACATGGATGGCAAATAAGCATAAGAATCTTGTACTGTCCCAAAACAAATTTCCAGGGCCTTCTCTTTTGCAAACCACGCCTTCTTATAAGTCATTGCAATGCCGTGCTCCCTACGCATGTCGCTGAGAATGGAATTGTGGGGGTACGGCTTCGTTGTTGCATCACAAAATTTGTGTTTTACAAGCTCTGCAATAATGTGATACGTAGCTTGACGTGTTGTGCCTTGTCGAGCATCAATAGGGCATTGATGTTCACGGTTGTACCTGACAAAAAAACATATGAAGAATACGATTAAATTTAAAAACATGTTTGGTTAAGGACAGATATTAGTATGTAAAGAGGTGATGTTTGGTACCTAAAAGAGCATAATGTCCTGATTAGGACGTTGTTTGAATTTAAAGCTTAACACATAATGTCCTTAACAGGGCATAATGTCTTCATTATGCTATTCCTAGTGAGTAAAAAAGCATAATGTCCTTAACATAATGTCCTGATTAGGACATAGGTAAGAAAGTAAGAGAGCATAATGTCCTTGTTAGGACGTTGGTAAGAATTTAAACCTTAATACATAAAGTCATTAGCAGAGCATAATATCCTCATTGTTTTATTCTTAGTCAGTAAAAAAGCTAAATTGTGATAGATAGGGGAGGATACAGTAGTGAATAGTGTGTATAGAGCTAAGTTTTGGTACAGAATGGAACATAATGTCCTGATTTGGACATAATGAGAGAAAGGCATTAACAGATAGCAATGTTTAGCAGTCTTTAACAATGATTGTAAATGGACTTACGACGTCATTCTTAGTCTGTAAAATGTAGAGCTTCTAAGATAACAGAGCATAATGTCCTGATAGAAATGTAAGGTGATTAAGACTTAATGAGTTTAAGGCATTAAGTTATGGCATTTTTTCAAGCAGTAACATAAAGTTGAGAGGGGCCTACGGCATCATTGTTAGTCAGTAAAAATGTGAAGTTTGATAAAGAACAGTGCATAATGTCCTCATTAACCAGAATTGGTTACGGATGTACAACGTCATTCTTAGTAAGTAGAAAGCTAAAGTGTGTTAAATAAAAGATGATAATGACCTAATTAGTGAGTAATCTGATTAAGGAATAATCTGATTAAGGCATTAACATTGTGCATAGTTTTCAGTCATTAAAATGGATTGGAAATGGACCAAAAACGTAATCCCTAGGTAGTAAAATCTAAAGTTTGTTACATAAGATACAAGGGAGGGTCTTAACAAGCATGCATTGTGTAAGGTGTGGAAATGTTTAAAAACACCATTAATAAGTGGAAATCAATACGCATCATATAATCATTATTGAAGAACAATGCAAAGTCATTAAAAAGGGCTGGGAACGGGCCTACGGATCTAGAACATCTCAACGCCTGGTAAACGCACTACCCGAATAGCCCATGTGCAACGAGGAAAATCCACACCGACAACATGAAGACAAGATTTTTTTGAGGTTTGAATCCGGTACTGGAACTGGTTAGAGATTGCTAACATCTTCAAATGGATGTCAAGGTCCTTTTTGCTGGCATAAATGGCATCAACAACAATTCTAGTTGGATCGAACCGGGATGTAACGTGTATCTCCTTCATTGTTGCAATCTCCTGCTGAGACATTCTATAAGAAGACGGGTTGGATTGAAGATAGTTATTGCAGTCAAGCTCACTAGTTTGGACATTATTCTCAGGTATTTCATCTCCCCAAAATGTGTCGAATACCGAGCCAGGGGAAAATCGTTGGATTGGTATATTGTCTTCATCCAAACTGCACATTCTTCGGTTTTCTTCAAAATCAGAGACGTCTGATTCTGTAACTTCGCAGTCGCTTGAATTGGAGACGGAATGATGACAAAGGAGAGGCTGATGTAATCGTTTCTGAAAAATTAGTTAATTCAACACACAAAGGGAAATCGCATACCCCACAGTGAATGGTCTTCAACCGAATGTATGCGTAAAGGCTCGTTTCATCGTCAATCACAACATGACTTGAACATGAATCAGAGACATGCGAAATCTTAAAAACAGAATTCTCATAGGATGATGGGACCGTATTATGAATCACCTGTATCAAGTCAGTGAATGATGCGTGATGTGGAATCTAAATCTCATATGCGTATGTGTAGGAGAAGACGCCATGAATGTCCCATTTGCCGTCGAATTGGAGCAGAGAATGGATGGCAGCCGGTGTGGAGAAAACTGGGACAATGCTAGAAACAGAGGCCAGCAATGAAGAGAACATGGTGTTGCGCTACTGGGGTGGGCGGAAGAATTTGGTACTGGCCGGAAGAAATGTAGGAGACGGAAACCTAAATCCATGGGGAGTTACAGAACTGGAGCGTAAATGAAGGGATAATGGCTAGAAAGTGGGGGAAATTATTAATAGTTATCCTATAAATATGCCAAGAAAATTGAAAAAAAAAAAAAAGAAAAATCCCAGCATTTTCGATCCAGAAGGGTAAAAACGGATGCACGCCCAAAAGTAACTCCTATCTAAGGAAAAAAAAGATAAAAGTCCTATTTAGGGAAAACACATATGTTTGGGTCCTAAATGGAACAAATTTTACTTTCTCTATCTATATACTGCGCTACTTTATAGCCACATTTAATAATAAATTCTTTCTGAGTTTTTTCTAAAGTATATTGTGTCAATTGAATTAATCCATGTAGAAATTTCTCATATTATCTAACTTAGTACTCCAGAAAGGATATATATAGTTTATATGTATATACATATATAATTTATATATGATGTAGAAATCACCATTTCATTTATTAAGATTAAAATTTTTGTATATATACAATGCCACGATATAGCTACTTTTCA